CTGAGATAGACTTTGCTTTAGGTGGCGTAGTGCCTGCTCGCACTCCTCATTCCATTCGAAGGCTGCTTCCTTTTGAAGGAGTTTGAAGAAGGGGAGGGCATGCTGAGCGGATTTCGCGACGAAGCGGGATAGCGACGTGAGCATGCCGTTCATGATTTGTATCGACTTCTTCGACGTTGGTGTCGGGAGGTCGGAGAACGCCCGGCATTTGTCGGGGTTGGCTTCAATTCCCCGTTCCGTTAGGTAGAATCCGAGGAATTTTCCTGCCTTAACCCCGAACGTACATTTCTCGGGGTTGAACCTCATTTTACATTGTCTTGCTTGGGCAAAGACCGTCTTGAGGTGCGTTGCATGGTCGGTGTCTGCTCGGGACTTGACGATCATGTCGTCCATATACACCTCGAGCATGTCGCCTATCTGTTTGTTGAAAACTCTGTTCATCATGCGCTGGTAAGTTGCCCCGGCATTTTTCAGTCCGAAGGGCATTACATTGTAGTAATAGTTGCCCAAGCTGGTCATGAATGTCGTGCAGTGTTTGTCGTCCAGGGCCATCGGGATTTGGTTATAGCCCGAGTAGGCATCCATGAACGACAATGTTTTGTAGCCGGCTGAGTTGTCGACCAGCATGTCTATGTTAGGCAAAGGAAAAGCATCTTTCGGGCAAGCCCGGTTGAGATCGGTATAATCAACGCACATCCTCCATTTTCCATTATTCTTTTTAACGAGTACAACATTTGACAGCCAGGTGGAATACCGGGCTTCAGAAATAAAATTTGCCTCAAGGAGGTCTTTTACAGCTTTCTCAGCAGCCTCCGTTTTTTCTGGAGACTGCCTATGCCTACGTTGTACTACGGCCCTAGCGGCTGGATCAATGGCGAGGTGGTGACAGGCGACCTCAGGGTCGAGTCCGGGCATCTCTGCGGCGCTCCAGGCGAACAGATCAGCATTCTCGCGCAAACAGGCCTTGATTTGCTTCCTGGCCAAGTCGGGGAGGTCTTTGCCAATCTTCACTCCCTTGGTCGGATCTGTGCCGAGGGGGACGAGTTCAAAATCCCCGTCCGGTATTGGTCGGAGTGGGATTTGCTCGCCGTTGGATGGCTCGTCCTGGTCGAAGCGAGTGTCCAGAGCTATAGAATCGACCTTTGGTGGAGCTTTCTGGACTTCTTCCTCGGGGGATGCTTTCTTGTTGGGCTCCTGTCTTGTCCTTTTGGCGGGTCTGGTCCCTATGTCGACAGTATCACGTCCCTTAGAAGCGGCGTTGAAGCACCTGCGGGCAGCGGCTAGGTCTCCTTAGATAGTAGCTACCCGTGCCCTCTTTGTGTAGAACTTCATCTTCAGGTGGACGGTCGAGGGTACCGCCGTCAGCTCTGCCAGTGTCGGTCTCCCCAAGATGCAGTTGTATAGAGACGGGCAGTCGATGACTAGGAAGCGTACTTTGACTTCTCTTGTAGCCGTCCCTTCACTGAACGTAACCAGAAGCTCGACATATCCCCAAGGTTTGGAGGTCGAGCCGTTAAAACCTTGTAAGTCCGACCCTATATACGACGAGAGATGTGAGTCGTCCAGCTGTAGGGTTCGGAACAGTTGGCTGTACATGACGTCGACGGAACTCCCTTCGTCGACCAGGATGCGATGTACATCAAAATTGGCAATTCTTGCCCTTATCAGTAAGGGGATGACCGCGTTCGGGGCTCCGCCGGGGAGCTCTTCTAGGTAGAAGGTGATGGGCTCTGACCTGCCCTTCACCCTTTCGAACGTCACTGTTTGCGGGGGAGCCGCGTCGACCAGTTCGTCCAGCTTCCTCTTGGCTGAATTGATGGTCAGGTCGTTGAACCCGCCGCCGTTGGTGACCAGGGCGGAGGGGAAGTATTCCCACCTGCTGTGCGTTGTAAGCGGCTCCTGCAGGTGCTCGGGGAAGTCGAAGTCCTCGGGCCTGGTCACAGAGAAGGCAGTTTGGATGGGCACCGACTCGTCAGATGGTCGGGCGTCTTCTTCTGGCTCCCTGGTTTCTTGGGCGTCACGACGGGGAGCGTCGTTTCGCCGGTACTGCGCGAGCCTCCCTCCCTTGATGAGGGTTTCAATGGCGTCCTTGAGGTGGACGTAATCCTCAGTCAGGTGACCATGGCTCCTATGGTACTGACAATATTTGTTTTTGTCTGCTCCGGGCTTGGCGGGAGCAGGTCGGGGACGTTTGACATCGCCGTCCTTGAAATCAGTGTTGGCACACTCCGCCAGAATGCGCTCGCGGGAAGCTGTGAGCGGAGTGTACTCGGTGAAACGCCCCGAAGGTCCTCTTTGTTCCCGGACTTCCCGGGGTCTGTCTTCCTTCCTTTTCTCCCCGGTTCGTCGAGGAGGAGCTTCTTGGCGCGAGCTGATGTTGGGACCACGAGTCCGGAATCTCGGGCTCTGTTGGCCGCTTCCCTCTCCTAGTAGTCCATGTATGCTCGGGATTTTTCGAGGAGGGCATCGAATGTCCGAGGTGGCTCGATACCCACAGCCTTTCTGAATTCCGTGTCGGGGAGGAGTCCTCTTTCCAGCAAATATCTTTTCATATGGTCCGCGCAGGGGACCTGTATTACTTCCTGATTGAAACGGTTAATGAATTCCCTCAAGGTTTCATCCTGTCTTTGGATGATGGCCTCGAGAGCCGCCTCGGTCTTCGGGTGCCGCTGAGAAGCTGTGAAGGAACTGATGAACTGGTTCTTCAGGTTCTGCCACGAGGTAATTGAGCCCGGGGCGAGTCCTTTGTACCAGTCCATTGCCGCCTTCCTGAGAGTCGTGGGGAATAGACGGCACTTGATGGGGCCCCCGACGTTGTGATAATGAAGCATAGCCTCGAACCCGTCTATGTGGTCGACCGGGTCCGCGACTCCATCGTACTCCTTCAAGTGTGGGGGCTTCTCCATGCCCGGGGGGATGGGTGCTTCCATAATAGCCTGCGACAAGGGACCGCGGGGGTCGTCCTCGTCGCTTCTCTCCGGAGACAGAGATGGGGACCTGTAATACTGTCTGGCACGACGGTCCAGGTCGTGGTGAGTCTCTCTCGAGCGGGATGCTCGGGGGTTGAATTTTACACGTCCGTCTCCGGAGTGTCTTCTTTCTAGTCTCGCTGGGTCACGACTAGGTTCTCCGGCCTGAATGATGGGCTGCCTCTCCAGATGAGGCCGTTTCTGTTTTGGCCGGGGAGATTGGCTTCGAGAGGTCTCCCTGTAATGTCTCCGCGGGGGAGATGGGTGTCGAGCTTCAGTCACTCGAGGAGGGGGAGTATGGGGTCTCCGATGCCTTCTCGGGGGTCTTCGCTCGTCTTCAAGCGCCTTTAGTCTCTCTCCTTAGGCGAAGATGAGATAGTTCGTTTGATTAATTGTTGCGAACAGCGCTTGCATTGTGGCATCCGCCCCGGCGGGGACGGGGACTTCCTAGAACCGGGAAGCTCTGTAGTGTGCGAGGGTCGTCGGGTCGTCTTCAAGTGGTGGAGGGACCGAGGAGGATGATGCAGTAGCTCCGTCCCTGTAGGAGGAAGTTCCGGGGGCGGTTGTCGCAGGAACGGTGTTGTGGCCGGGGTTGCCGGCGTTATCAAGGTGTCTGTTCTTGTCCGCGGTGCCGTTATTAATGTCGACGACACGGATGTTCTGCTCATCGCGAGTTTGATCAGCCATGACAGGTAGTTGAATTTGAGCTTTGGTCTTTGAGTTTGCAAGACGGGGAAGCTAGATTCCCACAGACGGCGCCACTGATCTAACCTGATCAGACTTGGACCGTCACGGCTGGCTCCGAGCTGAAGTTTTGAACGAGGTGGGGGGGGTACCTGCAAGGCACTCCGATGCTGAAGTAAATAAGAGTACGAGCAGGCAAAAGTGTGAGTATATGTGATAGAATGAATACCTGACCCTCTGGAAACAGAGGGTATTTATAGCCCCCAGTGCTGGGCCAAGGTTCCTTCATTGGGCCGGGCAGGTTTGGCCCAATGGAGGAACTGCCAGGTTCTACGTGCGTAGTGGGGACCCGCACGTGGTCCTCTTCCTGGATGTTCTGCGTGAAGTGCGGACGGACAGGGACGCGATCTTTTCAGAGTCCCGTTGAGAGTGTAGTGGACCGTGTCCGCTGTCGAAGGAACGCTCGAGCTGAGGTCGAGCTGGGCAGCACGAGGACGGGGTTGTCACCCAGTGACATATGTCGGGCACGCTATGGTCCTTAGGTTGGCGTGACTCCTAGCAGGTTCGTTTGGATTGGACCTTTATTGTTGCTCTTAGGCCAGCCCGACCCAGTCCAGAACAAAAATATAAAAAAAAAAACATTTTTTAAAGAAATTGAAAAAAATGGTACTGTAGGATGCTAAAAGATTACTTTAAAAAAAAAATACATTAGATAAATCGTAACATAGACACTTTTTCTTAATTCTTTTGTATCACAATACAAAATTGAAAATGTTAATTCACTTACACAATTTAAGGGAAAAAAACGGAGAGTTGGAGTTGATAAATCCAGTTATTGCCATTTTCCTCTAAAAGTAAAATTAGGATCCTTCTTGATGATGTTTGATTAATTTAATCTTGATTTGTAAAAGATAAAATTAAAATAAAACAGGTGATATATGAAATTTTTCCTGTGTTTAATCAAGATGTAAAACATAAGAAAAATATGTGTAATCAAACAATAACTTCATGATCTAACATTAAATACATTAAATTCATACATGTATATAGTTGAATGCATGCAACTGTGCCCTTAAAAGCAATTTATAATCTTAGTTTTCCATGAGCATTCATCCCTTACAAACAATTTATAGCTGCATATCTGTTACACATCAACTAAGATGATAAAACGAAGATTGAATCTATACATGCATTACAATTTGGATATATCACTGCATAAGACATGTTAGCGTGACCTCGATTTGTATGGCCAAAATTTGATGAGTCATTCAAAACCATGGAAAAGCAACTATGACGTAGGAACACATCAAAATCATCCCTCCCGTGAACACAGCTCCTTGCCTTCACTCACATATACTGCAAAAATATTACAAAGTAAAAATCTTTGGCAGAATAATAAAACCTGAATATTCTCGGGTTCTGTAAATCTTGGTAAACAGCATTTATTTTATTTAGTATTTGTTGAAATTTTGCGGTAGTTGCCTAAATTGCGGCACTTTGGCTTGTTGTCTTCGTTGTAGTTCTCGATACTTGGATTTGAAGAGGATAGATTTAGTCTCACATTGCTTACAAATATGATCTGTTTTATATTTATAAGTGGGAGTAATTTTCATCTTACAAGTCAGTTTTATAGGGATGAGTTAGATCCCGTCCTAACTACAAGAGTATTAGTGCACCTCTACTCAAACTTCTATTCACCCTAGTCACTTGAGCTAAGTGGCATTACTGCACCCAATTCAGTTCATTAGTATCGTGGTAATAGTATTAGTGCCAGACTGAAATTCTAAACCCGCAAGCTTTATCATTTCACTTACTAGAATCATTCAGGACAGTGGTAATAGTATTATTGCCGGACTGAAATTCTAAACATGCAAGCTTTATTCCATCACCACCAAAGGTAATGTTACCCTGCAGGACCGGAGTATTGGGTTTTTATAGTTTTAGGTTTTGGTTTAGAGAGCAAACTAACTTAAATCTATAAATAGAGAGAGTAATCCCTAATTTTGTAATCAAGTCAATTTATTGTAATCACAGAATTTGAAGTTGCAAGTGATTAATAAAGTTTTCCACAGTTTGTGGACAGAGAGAAACTCTGCAGAAAATAATTGTCTTCTTTATTTTCTTTTCTCATAATTCATTGTTATTGTGTGATGATATCAATCTTGTTCATCAAGATTGGTAGAAATTCATCATAGATATTTGGTAGATTTCAAACATCTGGTATCAAGAGCTCGGTTAATCGATTCAAGGGAAGTATCGATCAAGAACGATTGAGGAAGAAGAATTCACGACGGCGAGTTATGGGAATGCAAATTATCCAGCAACTCTAGCAATTCTGAAAGTAGAGAACTATGAGAATTGGTGCAAACAGATGAAAGTTTTATTCAGGTATCAAGATCTTTGGGATCTTGTAAAGGATGGATTGGAAGCGGTTGGAGAAAATGCTTCAGAAGAAGAAAAGAAGAAACACACCGAATCTGAGAAGGTGAGTTATAAAGCACTCTTTATAATTCATCAATGTCTGAGTCCAAAAATTTTTGAAAAAGTGAGTGATTCAGAATCTGCAAAAGAAGCTTGGGAGGTTCTTGAGAAGTCTTTTGGTGGTACAGAAAAGGTGAAAGAAGTGAGGTTACAAACTCACAAGAGAACGTATGAATTGTTTCAGATGGAAGATATTGAGAGCATATCTGATTTCTTCATTAGGGTTACAAAACTAGTGAATCAAATCAAGATATGTGGAGAAACATTAACAACAAAAGCTGTTGTTTCGAAGATCTTGAGATCTTTGGCTCCTAAGTTCGACCACGTGGTGGTGGCTATAGAAGAGGGGAAAGACTTGTCGAAATTGACAAAGGAAGAGCTTCAAGGGACGCTTGAATCTCACGAACAAAAAATGACTGAAAGAGCTGCAGGCAAGTCGAAGAGTGATGTGGCTTTGCAGGCACATTCAACAAAAGAAACCAAAGGCAAAGGAAAGTGGTTCGACAGAGGTAGAGGCGGTTACAACAAATCGACTGGTAGAGGAAACCAGAATGAAGGAAACGTGTCGAATCAGAGAAGACCATACCAAGGCAACCAAAGAGGTGGTGTTGCAAATAGAGGAAAGAGGTGGTGGTCGAAAACCTAACAAGAGTCACATTCAATGTTACAATTGTCAGAAGTATGGTCACTATTCGAGTGATTGTCCAGAAAAGCGAAAGAATCAAGAAAGTGATGCAAAATTTACAAAACATGAAGAAGAAGAAGAAGAAGAAGAGACGATGCTGATGGTCGCAACAAGAGATGAAGATAGATTCAAGGACCAATGGTACTTGAATTCAGGATGCTCATCACATATTCTGGAAGGAAAGACTAGTTTGTCAACATAAAGCCCTCAATGAAAAATATGGTAAAATTCCCAAATGACAATACCCTAGCAGCTGAAGGTATTGGTGATGTTATGATTATGATGAAAGATGACTAGAGGTCAGTAATTTCCAATGTGTTGTACATACCAGGCATTAAGAACAATTTGCTCAGTATATGGCAGTTGGTCGAAAAGAATTATAAAGTGTCGATCGAAGATAAGATGATGAGAGTCGTCGACGCAAATGGAAGATTAATCTTGAAGGCTCCTATGTCTCAGAATAGAACGTTCAAGATCGAACTAAATATGATGAAGCACAAGTGCCTTTCGACTGCAGCTAGCAGAGATGAATGGATATGACATTATCGGCTAGGTCATCTCAACTTCAGAGACATCAGAGATTTGAAGAGAATAAATATGGTTTCAGGATTGCCAGAAATCGACATTTCAAACGAGGTATGTGAGGAATGTGTGCAGGCGAAGCAACACAAGAATAGCTTCAGCAAGGATACAGGAAGTAGGTCGAAGGTTATTCTTGAAGTCATATACTTTGAGGTATGTGGACCAATCCAGGTGGATTCGATGGGATGTAACAAATACTTTGTTACATTCATAGATGATTTCAGTCGAAAGTTGTGGACTTACCTGATCAAGAAGAAAAGTGAAGTGATCGGGGTATTTGCCAAATTTAAGTCTATGGTCGAAAGACAAAGTGGTCGAAAACTCAAAGTTTTGATAACTGATGGTGGTGGAGAGTATGTGCCGAAAGACTTCGACAGGTTATGTGAAAAGGAAGGGATTGTGCATGAGGTGGTGCCACCCTATACTCCACAGCATAATGGAACTGCAGAAAGGAAGAATCGAACCATCATGAATATGGTGAGAATTATGTTGAAAGGCAAGAATTTACCTAACGAGTTTTGAGGTGAAGTTGTGTCGACTGCAACATACATTTTGAACAAATGTCCTACGAAGAAGCTAGAAGAAATTACTCCAGAAGAATGTTGGTCTGGTGCGAAGCCTAGCTTGAGTCATCTGAAGGTATTTGGATCTATTGCACATAGACATGTGCCAGATCAGTTGAGAAGAAAACTTGATGACAAGTCGAGTCAAATGATTCTAGTTGGATATCATTCGACAGGAGGTTACAAGTTGTTCGACCCAGTGAACAAGCAGATTGTGATCAGCAAGGACGTGATCATAAATGAGCTTAAAAAATGGGATTGGACTGAAAATGTCAAGAAAGATTCAGTGGGAATCCTACTTGAAGAACCAGAAACTCAAGTCGAAAGAGAAGTTCGACAAGAGGAACCAGCAGTTATAGATCAACCAAGTACAGGCAGACCTCAAAGAACAAGACGCATGCCTGCAAGATTGCAAGATTGTGTGATTACATCAGATGATGTGATACATAATGAAGGTGAGTTGGTACATTATGCTTTCTACGCAGATGTCGAACCTGTCAATGCAGCTGAAGCATTGAAGGATTCAAAGTGAGTGAAAGTAATGAACGAAGAAGTGAAGTCAATCAAGACAACAACACTTGGTCACTTGTCGAATTGTCTCAAGGCGAGAAGGCAATTAATGTCAAGTGGGTATACAAAGTGAAAATGAATTCCAAAGGGGAAGTAACTCGACACAAAGCAAGGCTTGTAGCGAAAGAATTTCTACAGAAAGACGGAATAGACTTCGATAAAGTTTTTGCACCTGTTGCTAGGATTGAAACAATCGGGTTAGTTGTTGGTCTAGCAAAAATAAACAGATGGCACATTTGTCAGTTGGACGTGAAGTGCGCATTCCTGAATGGACCCTTAGACGAAAAAGTTTATGTTAAACAATCAGTTGGGTTTGTGAAACATGACGAAGAGAGAAAGGTGTACACGCTGCATGGATTGAAACAAGCTCCAAGAGCTTGGAATAAGAAAATTGATAGTTTCCTAAGGGAGAAAGAATTTGTGAAGTGCACAACTGAACATGGAGTATATGTAAGAAGAAACAATAGTTAATTGTTTATACTATGTCTCTATGTCGATGATTTGTTGATAACAGGTAGCTGCAAAAGTGAGATCGAAGACTTCAAAGGTGATCTCAGCAAGAAATTCGAAATGTCTGATCTGGGTGAGATTTCATATTTTCTTGGCATCGAATTCTACAAGAGCAGTAGAGGTTTGATGATGCATCAAAGAAGATATACAAGAGAAATTCTCAAGAGATTTGAGATGGAAGAATGCAACTCAACTTCGACACCTGCAGAACCAAGACTTCAACTGTCGAAAGATGTAGATGAAGATGATGTCGACGCAACCCAATACAGAAGACTTATTGGGTCATTGAGATACATTTGTCATACAAGGCCTGACTTAGCATATAGTGTAAGTATGGTGAGTAGATTCATGCAGAAGCCAAAAGTATCACATCTAGCAGCGGTGAAGAGGATACTAAGGTATCTCAAAGGAACTCTCGACTATGACATTTTGTTTCCTGCAGCTGATAAAGAAAAATAATGCAAGTTAGTGAGATACCCTGATTCGAGTTGGTGTAGTGATGCTGAAGACCGAAAATCAACAGCAGGATATGTGTTTATGTTAGGTGGTGCACAAGTTGCTTGGAGTTCAAGAAAGGAACCAGTAGTGGCATTATCATCATGCGAAGCAGAATACATAGTTGCTTCTCTTTGTGCATGTCAAGCAACTTGGATGGTGAACTTGGTCGAAGAGATAACAGGAAAAAATCATGGAGCAATTACCATGAAGATCGACAGCATGTCAGCTATCAATCTGGCGAAGAACCCGATAGCACATGATCGAAGCAAGCACATCGAAATGAGGTTCCACTATCTTCGAGAGCAGGTAGAAGATGGGAAGATGAATTTGAAACACTGCAGAACTGAGAATCAGATTGAAGACATCATGACGAAGAGAGTGCAGGTCGAAGTATTCAGAAGACTAAGAACCATAATGAATATAGATAGTTTAGATACAATGAATTAGATGGTGTGTTAAATTGTAAC